TACTGGTAATGAACAGGTTGGCGGTGTAGGTAATACTGGTTTGCATATTTCTCATTTTGGTTCTTCCATTGCTAACACTGATTCTTGCAAGTTTTCTCTTAATGACATCCTACATTGTCTATCAGCTTCTACCAATTTAATCTATGTCCATAGATTTACCTTAGACAACCATTGCTATATTCTAATTTTTCCTGATTGCTTTGTTGTAAAGAACCTCAAGACTCGTTAGACGCTGTTCCAAGGGAGATGTGAGAATGGATTATATCCATTTGATCTTGGTGGTGAACTCTCCAATAAATCTTTTTCAGCTTTCGTAGGCACTCGAGTTTCTACAAAGAAGTGGCACTATCGTCTTGGTCATTCAGCTAGTTCCGTTGTTAGGTTTTTAATTTCCAATAAACAAGTACCACTTAGTGGTACCTCTGATGTAAGCTTTTGTCAGTGCTATCCATTAGGCAAAAGTACAAAATTGTCGCTCAGTTTGTCTAGATCAATTTCACATTCTCCACTAGAGCTTGTACACTCCGATGTTTGGAGTTTTCCAATAAATTCGGTCCAAGGTTACTGCTACTATCTCTTGTTTGCTGATGACTTTTCAAGATACTCCTAGATCTTTCCCATGAAACACAAACATGAAGTGTTTGATCTTTTTATCCGTTTTAAGAAATATGTTGAGAAAATGTAAAACATTCCAATAAAAGTTTTACAATGTGATGAAGGGGGAGAGTACACTAAGCATGCATTTTAAAATTATCTTGTTGATCATGGTATTGTCCAAAGGTTTTCATGTCCTAAGCATCCTGAGCAGAATGGTTTAGCCGAAAGAAAACATAGGCATCTTGTTGAAACTGATATTGTTCTTCTGTCTGATGCTTCTATTCCTAATACCTATTAGTTTGATGTTTTTCAGACTACCATATATTTAATTAATCGCTTACCAACTAGAGTTTTGTCAAATAAGTTTCCTTTTCAAACATTGTTTCTTAGGTCTCCTAGTTATGATATGTTCAAAACTTTTGGATGTCTTTGCTTTCCCTGGCTAATGTCGTATACCACTAATAAACTTCAACACAAATCCAAACCATGTGTCTTTTTAGGTTATTCGCTGAATCATCAAGGATATAAGTGCTTGGATCTGTCCACGAGAAGAATTTATGTGTCTAGTCATGTCCTATTCGATTAGGACAATTTTCCATTCAAGGATCTCACATCTTCTAAAGGGAGTGGCTTCAAGTCAGGTAATTGTAATCCATAAGATTTACTTGTTTTTCCTGAGTCTACTAATATGGTTGTTCTCTAAGGAATTCATGTGCCACCACCACTAAATAATCCTATCCTCACACCAATTACTCAACACACCCAACCTCCAACAGTTCCAAATATTTCTCCTCCCATGTAAGAATCAGTGCCCAATAATCAAAGTGATAATCATGTGTTTGATGGTGGTGTTTCCTCTTATGTTGCTGCTAAACCTTCACAATCTTCTTCTCCACCACATCAGCGTATTGTAACAAGGTCCCAGCTTGGGATAAGTAAGCCAAATCCCAAATATGCCATGATTGCTATTATGGATGTTCAATATACTGAACCTTCTTGTTTCAGTCAAGCCGTGAAACAAGAAGAATTGAGGCATGCCATGAGTCAAAAATTTAGTGCTTTGCAACATAATGGAACTTGTGTTAGATATTTCATGAAATGAAATCAATAGAACAACAACACCATGAATCGCATTAGAATAAGCCAATAAACTTAATAACAAATCAAGAACACTAACCTGGATTAGAAGAAGAAGACATGAAGGTCTGCTGGAGCCGTCTTCTATTCTTGGCAATACCAAATGCTAATATCTCAATAGGGCAGATAATATCTTAGCGTGTAATTATAAGAATAGGGTCTAGCCCTTTTATATTGATAACAAAACCCTAACTTTCCTATTATGTTTTAGGGATTGCTAATCTTATGCCATAATTCATGAATATCTTACAATATAAGAAGGCCCATATAGCTTTATACATATTGGACTCCAATACATAAGGTCCAACAAGCTATGTGAAATATATGTATTATAATTAATACTCAATTTTCTTCCAACATTCTCCCACTGAGTATAATTACAATACATATCATAGCTTGTCAATCCAGTAGTAAAAGTGATCACTGAATCCTAAAGTAATAAGCTTCCTTCTCAAGCAAATGTCTATGTCAAATCATAGTGCAGAACCTAAGGACACACAAGACAAGTCAATTTAGTCTTGGTTTCCAGAAATTACATACACGAGACTTAACATCACAATGTTGCAGATATTATGACATAATGAGTGTGAACCACAAGGTTTTCCACTCCCACATATTAGTCCTATCAATAAGTTCTGAGAATTTCTAAATGCCTCAAGGAAGTCAATATTCTCAGAACAACAATAGTGTTTCAATCATCTCAGCTAGAGAGATTGAAACCAATAAGACAGTATAAACGAGACTTAACATCACAATGTTGCAGATATTGTGACATAATGAGTGTAAACCATAAGGTTTTCCACTCCCACATATTAGTCCTATCAATAAGTTCTAAGAATTTCTAAATGCCTCAAGGAAGTCAATATTCTCATAACAACAATAGTGTTTCAATCATCTTAGCTAGAGAGATTAAAACCAATAAGACAGTATAAACGAAAGCTGTCTTCTATAAAGATTCTTAATAGAAATCAAATACTGTATCAAAATCATTGCTAAAACAAAAGGACAATGCAGTACTTTATTCATAAGTCAAAAAGAAATGACAAAATACATAAAGTTTTGACTTACTCCCACAGATAAAAAGAATCAAAATTTTCATGAACTCCCATTGTTGCTACATGTGTTTTGAACACTCTCACTGGTAATGTCTTTGTAAGAGGATCAGCCACCATGGATTCAGTACCAATGTGTATTACATCAATTACTTGTTCCTTGACCTTGTCTCTGACTAGTAAATATTTGATCTCCATCAATCGAGAAGCTGGAGTTCTCTTGTTGTTTCTAGGGAAGAAAACAACGGCTTGGTTGTCACAATATATCTTTAATGGCCTTGCAATAGAGTCCACAATCCTGACATTTGTAATGAAATTCTTAATCCAAACTGCCTGTTTAGTGGCCTCTAAACAGCCTATGAACTCTGCTTCCATAGTTGATGTAGCTACAACAGTTTGTTTGGCACTTTTCCATGAAACAGAACCACCAGCAAGAACAAAAACATAACATGCTGTAGATTTTCTGTCATCTGTGCAACTAGCCAAATCCGAATCTGTATAGGCTACTATCTCAAGCTTCTCCACCTTGCTATAAATCAGCATATGTGACTTAGTCCCTTGCAAATAACTCAACACCTTCTTGGCAGCCACCCAATGAGGTTCTCTAGGATTTGCTTGAAATCTTCCAAGCACACTCACAATAAAAGCTAAATAAGGTCTTGTGCATACTTGTGCATACATTATGCTTTCAACCAATGAAGCATAAGGTCTGAGTTTCATTTGCTCATTCTCGAAATCATTTGCAGGAGATTGACTTTTATTCAACTTGTCACCCTTTCCTATAGGAAGTTCTACTTTTGAGCATTTCTCCATCTTAAATCATTTAAGCACCTTTTCAATATAGGATTTTTGAGATAGCCCCAAAAGACATCTTGATCTGTCTCTCAGAATTTCTATACCTAAAACAAAATGAGCTTCTCCCATATCTTTCATGTCAAAACTTTTAGAAAGCAATTCCTTGGTACTTTTAAGCAATTGAAAATCTGAGCTTGCAAGCAAAATATCATCTGCATAAAGTACAAGGAAAATGAATTTGGAACCACTCACTTTTAAGTAGATGCACTCATCGAACTTGTTTTCTGCAAAGCCAAAAGTAGTGATGACTTTATCAAATTTGAGGTACCAATGCCTTGATGCCTGCTTTAAACCATAGATTGACTTATTTAACCTGAAAACCATGCTTTCCATCCCCCTTTCAACAAATCCTGGAGGTTGCTGCATAAAAATTTCCTTATGTAAATCACCATTTAGGAAAGCAGTCCTTACATCCATCTGGTGGAGCTCTAAATTGAAGTGTGCTGTGAGAGCCATAATTATTCTAAAGGAATCCTTGGAGGAAACTAGAGAGGAGGTCTCTGTGTACTCAAAACCTTCTCTTTGTGTGAAACCTTCTGCCACGAGTCTAGCTTTCAGCCTCTCAATTTGCCCCTTAGAATCTCTCTTGGTTTTGTAAACATGCATAAAGTACAAGGAAAATGAATTTGGAACCACTCACTTTTAAGTAGATGCACTCATTGAACTTGTTTTCTGCAAAGCCAAAAGTAGTGATGACTTTATCAAATTTGAGGTACCATTGCCTTGATGCCTACTTTAAACCATAGATTGACTTATTTAACCTGCAAACCATGCTTTCCATCCCCCTTTCAACAAATCTTGGAGGTTGCTGCATAAAAATTTCCTTATGTAAATCACCATTTAGGAAAGAAGTCCTTACATCCATCTGGTGGAGCTCTAAATTGAAGTGTGCTGTGAGAGCCATAATTATTCTAAAGGAATCCTTGGGGGAAACTAGAGAGGAGGTCTCTATGTACTCAAAACCTTCTGCCACGAGTCTAGCTTTCAGCCTCTCAATTTGCCCCTTAGAATCTCTCTTGGTTTTGTAAACCCATTTGCATCCAATGGGTTTAGCATTTGAACTTGGTTGCACGAGTGTCCAAACATGGTTTTTGTCCATAGATTTTAACTCTTCCTTCATAGCTTCATTCCACAAGACTGCTTGTTCACTTCGCATAGCCTGAGCATAAGTAAGGGGATCTTCATCCAGTTCAATTCCAGAATCTGACTCTTGCAAACAGACAACATAGTCTTCAGGTATAGCAAGCTTGTGTGACCTTTGGGATCTTCGCACAGGTTCTGGTTCATTAGGTTGAATGACATGATCAACTTGTTCTTCATTTCTTGGTGTTGTGTCAACTCCTGTTTCTGGCTGATTTATCATGGTGTCCACACTAGGATAAAAAAAATATGTAGAGATAGCTGCTGATCAGGCATCAAATCAGTCTCAACCTTTTCTGACTCCTTAAATTTTATCTCAATTGCTTCGAGGAAATTCTTAGCCTTATCACAAACTGGAATCCCCCATCTCACAGCCGAGGTCATAGCCCTCCTCATGACATTTAATGCCATCCTATTCGATTTTTCCCATTTCTCATGCTTGGTCCTCTGCGCTGTTGTGCTAGCTTCAGTAAGTGCAGCAGGTTCATCCTCTCGAATAGCAAGATCATAGTCCATGAGCCCCAACAATATCTCAATGTCTTGTTTCCAGCTTTTGTAGTTGCTCCCAGTCAATGTCTCAATGCTTGAGAAATTCATGGAAGTCATTCCCAGAGCTGGATTACAAAAGAGCAACAAACTGGATTTTTAATTACTTACAAATCACAGCAGTTTAGAGTACATTAGTTTATGCTGTAACTTGAAAATGCATAGGCTCAATAAGTTTCAGCTTTGGCCATGTTTGTACCATATCTGACCCTCCACTCATCCAGTGGCACGTGGACCAGAGAAACTCCCCAAGTGCCCAAGGCTCCGAACAATCAGCATCGGCTACTGATGATATTGTCTCAAAGCAGCAAACGGTCGCTACAAGCCCAGCATAGTCTACAATCGGTATCCCCTACCGATTCTGCAAAATCAATCTCGAAGCACCCGCCCAAAATATCTATGGACTCGTGTCAACCTCATAGGGCCCTCCCACGAGTCCCACATCGAAATTAAGTACTAAGAGCATACAAAATGCCCTCTATAAATAAGCCCCTTCACTACAATACAGGGGTAAGACTTCTCAGCTTGACTTTTATATTAATATCTTGTCAAACAGCAAAAGCTCTTAGAAAACTATCTTACTTTGACATCGGAGGGTCTTAGGCTGGTTCCACACCGATTCCATAGACCTTACGAGTCTCGGCTTCCTTCTATTCAGGATCAGCATCCAAGGACAGGAAGAATCTGCATCCAACGCTCAATCGATCTCTCGATCGTCCACATCACTTGTAAGTTGCACTCATCTCTATCTAATCAGTTTTAGCGCCAACAGGCCAAGAAACTACCATATGCATTAAATTGCATAGCCAAAACATAAAATACTTGCAATGATATATTAACAACGCCTTTAGGCAAGAAGAAATATAAGACACAAGTATCGCATGAATTGCAACACACTAATTCATAGTTGGATCAAGCAGTAATAACACCTTTAGGAAAGATTAGTACAACTCATCATAACTCATGAATTACTTTTCTGGCTTGTTCAGAATAATCTCTTGTAGAATAAGTGTGAACCATCCAATTTGTTAAGGACATTCCAATTCATTCTCACAAGGATTCCACCACATAATCAAGTCCCCTACTTTTTTTTTTTTTTTTTTTTTGGACATGATTCTTTATTGTTTTCTAATATAGAAAACCGAATATTAGACTAGTTGAATTTCTCAAAATATCCAATTTGTGCATTCTGATATCATCCTGAAACCAATGTTTTAACAACATCACCGACAAAGCAATTAATCTTGATCTTATTCATATAGACAACAGATTTGGGCTTCAGAAAATACTCATTTAAAGGAAAAACCCATACCTTGATTTGGCTCATGATTTTCAATCAGCATATTTTGGGTTTCAAAGAAACTCAATTCAGCGGAAGCGATTAGATTCAGACAATTGAATATCAAAATAAAAAGGAGAAAGCCTAAATCTCAATAGTTCTAGACGGAATAGAAAAAACCCCAAAGTGAAAAGCATAGGTAATAAAATAATCCTTTTATTTTATTTGTTATTAATTTAATATTATTATTCAATTGAAACATGGTCTGTTGAGTGGGCTCTGATACCACATGTTAGATATTTCATGAAATGAAATCAATAGAACAACAACACCATGAATCACATGAATAAGCCAATAAACTTAATAACAAATCAAGAACACTAACCTGGATTAGAAGAAGAAGACATGAAGGTCTGCTGGAGCCGTCTTCTATTCTTTGCAATACCAAATACTAATATCTCAATAGGGCAGATAATATCTTAGCGTGTAATTGTAAGAATAGGGACTAGCCCTTTTATATTGATAACAAAACCCTAACTTTCCTATTATATTTTAGGGATTGCTAATCTTATGCCATAATTCATGAATATCTTACAATATAAGAAGGCCCATATAGCTTTATACATATTGGACTCCAATACATACGGTCCAACAAGCTATGTGAAATATATGTATTATAATTAATACTCAATTTTCTTCCAACAACTTGGACTCTTGTGCCCTTTCAATCTCACATGAATTTGCTGCCAAATAAATGGGTGTTCAAGATTAAAAGGAAGTCTGATGGCTCTATCAAGCGGTATAAAGCATGGTTGGTTGCAAATGGTTTTCATCAAAAGGAAGGTGTCAATTACACTGAATCCAAAGTGAAAAGCATAGGTAATAAAATAATCCTTTTATTTTATTTGTTATTAATTTAATATTATTATTCAATTAAAACATGGTCTGTTGAGTGGGCTCTGATACCACATGTTAGATATTTCATGAAATGAAATCAATAGAACAACAACACCATGAATCACATTAGAATAAGCCAATAAACTTAATAACAAATCAAGAACACTAACCTGGATTAGAAGAAGAAGACATGAAGGTCTGCTGGAGCCGTCTTCTATTCTTTGCAATACCAAATACTAATATCTCAATAGGGCAGATAATATCTTAGCGTGTAATTGTAAGAATAGGGACTAGCCCTTTTATATTGATAACAAAACCCTAACTTTCCTATTATATTTTAGGGATTGCTAATCTTATGCCATAATTCATGAATATCTTACAATATAAGAAGGCCCATATAGCTTTATACATATTGGACTCCAATACATACGGTCCAACAAGCTATGTGAAATATATGTATTATAATTAATACTCAATTTTCTTCCAACAACTTGGACTCTTGTGCCCTTTCAATCTCACATGAATTTGCTGCCAAATAAATGGGTGTTCAAGATTAAAAGGAAGTCTGATGGCTCTATCAAGCGGTATAAAGCATGGTTGGTTGCAAATGGTTTTCATCAAAAGGAAGGTGTCAATTACACTGAAACTTTGAGTCCAGTTGTAAAACATAGTACCATTAGACTAGTTTTGAGCTTGGCAGTCACAAAGAAATGGCTTGTGTGACAATTAGATGTTCAAAATGCATTTTTGCATGGTTTTCTTGCAAAAGAGGTCTATATGCGACAACTTGCAGGTTTCATTGATTCTCATGTATGCAAGTTGCAGCGCAGTTTGTATGGGTTGAAACAAGCACCAAGGGCTTGGTTTCAACAGTTCTCTGATTACTTGCTTGAGCTTGGCCTCCAAGAGTAGAAATGTGATTACTCATTATTTGTTTTTAATCAACATGGTGTTTATTTGGTTTTGTTGATTTACGTTGATGACATCTTGGTCACAGGCAATGATCAATCTCAGATTTCCTTACTTATCCAGCGGCTTGGCACTCACTTCTTTATGAAGGATTTGGGACCATTGTGTTACTTTTTGGGGGTTGAGGTCGACTACAATGAGGACTCTATGCACTTAGCTCAATCCAAGTATGCCATGGATTTGTTATCTTGCACTAAATTTGCAAACACCAAGCCTATTTCCACACCTACACCTAGTGGTTAGAAGTTGAGTGCGCATGAAGGAGAGCCCTATTATGATCCTGCTAATTATGGCAATGTTGTAAGGGCATTATAGTATCTTACCATCATAAGACTTGTCCTTGCGTATCCTGTGAACCAAGTGTGTCAATTCATGTAGAATCCTACCTCTACTCACTGGTCTGCTGTAAAACGAATCTTACATTATCTCAAAAATACTTATGATCATGGCTTAGTATATCATCTTGGTGAATTGCAGCTCAATGCTTTCTCTAATGCAGACTATGTTGGTAATCCAGATTCTCAACATTCCATTGGTGGGTTTTGTATTTATTTGGGGAAAAACTTGGTTTCATGGAGTTCTAAGAAGCAGAAAAAATGTATCAAGGTCTAGCATAGAAGCTAAGTATCGACAGCTTGCTCATACTACTCCAAAACTATCTTGGTTTAGTTCCTTGTTTTGTGATTTACAGCTATGTTTATCCCCTCCTCAAATCTGGTTTGATAATGTGTCGTCGCTAGCCATGGCTTCCAATCCTGTATTTCACTCTCGAACCAAACATTTGGAAGTGGACTATCTTTATGTTCGAGAAAAGGTAACTAGAAGTGAGCTGCTGGTTCATTTTGTTTTGCTCGCATGATGAGCTTGCTGATTTGTTTACCAAGGGCTTGTGTGTTGTTCGCAGGCACAGACCTATGACTTGTACAACCTGGGCTATCCCAGGTGAGTTTTTTTTATTTTATTTCTTATAGTTAGTGTTAATGTTAATCCCATTTATAGCATAAATATTAATTTGAACTAACTGGATAATTGTAGTGTAACCTCTACTTGCCGTGTGTCTATCTAACTTAATCTTTGTGATGATAAATTTTCATTTTTGAATTTTCTTATGAATTTTCTTTTTTCTTAATTCATTTTTGTCCGTCATGGTAGACCTTAGCAGGCATTGTTGGTGTAAAATAGGTCTTTTAAGTTGCCGTGTGTCTATCTAACTTAATCTTTGTGATGATAAATTTTCATTTTTGAATTTTCTTTTTTCTTAATTCATTTTTGTCCGTCATGGTAGACCTTAGCAGGCATTGTTGGTGTAAAATAGGTCTTTTAAACAAATAAAATAAAAATGATATATTCTTAAATTATATATATGATCAATTCCATAAGCCTAAAATCTAACATTTCAATAAGGTAATTCTAGCCCACCCCATTTTGAAATCCTGGGTCCGTCCCTGGTTGTTCGTTTCAAGTACTTGGTGTCCAAGCTTCCAATTGTTCAAAGACCTGTCAACTTGTGGGGGGATGTTAGACATACGTTATCTACAAGTTTGAATTCAAAGTCCTTATCTGTTTTGGATGATAAGTCCTAGTTTGCCTTGACTTAGTTTAATTGTTTTGTGATATGATTATCTTTTTGATTTTCAAATGTATAGATTGATTCCCATGTAAATAGAGATTTTCATGTAATCGTTTGTAACTGTTAACCTTAAAATATCAATATAAATATAGTTGCACCATTATGTTGATGGTATGCAAGGCTCACCACTCTTCTCTTGAGCATACTATTGTTTTACAAGTTCCTCATTATATTATGGTTTTATCCTTGTGGTAGGCGTTAGAAAATTCATTAAATAACATTATGGTACCACCCCTAAAAAACCCTAACGGTGCATTTGGATAAGGAAATTTAAAAGTACAAAAG